CGAGTTTACTCAATTAATGTAGTTCAGTCAACTTATTAGGGTTTTCAGTGTGTGATTTGACATTTAACGCTTGCCACGTTTCCTATGAGAAATGGGTTTAGTGGACTGTATTATATGGGGTCCTAGAAACTGCAACTTTCTTCTCCTTCCCATATTTTAGGTGCTCTATAGCTCCCTCTAGAGTCTGCTTTTGTATTTTAAAACATTGTAATAAGGGCGGCACAGTGGCTCAGTGGTTAGCACTGTTGCCTCATAGCAAAAAGGTTACTGGTTTGATTCCCGGCTGGGCCAGTTGGCATCTCTGTTTGAAGCTTGCATTTTCTGCCCGTGTTTCTTCCTGGGTTTCCTCTGAGTGCTCCGGTTTCTCTCACAGTCCAAAGACATGCCCTATAGGTGAATTGAATGAACTAAATTGGCCGTAGCGCATAAGTATGTGTGTGAATGAGTGTGTATGGGTGTGTCGGCTGGAAGAGCATCTGCTGTGTAAAACATATCCCAGAATAGTTTATCGATTCATTCCGCTGTGGGGATCCCTGATAAATAAGGTACTAAGCCAAAGGAAAATGATTGAAAATTGTAATAAGCTGAAGGGGACTTACCCTGGTAGAGCTGAATGAGAGGTTTGTGGATGGACTGATGGATAAGGCCTTCAGGAAGATCCCTGAAGAACTGCTTCAGTAAACTGGCTACTGCAAACGTGTCCACTTCCTGATCCAGATCCACTGCTTCTCCACCATCAAACCTCTGCCGCAGGCTCTCCACTGTCCGCACACTGCCGTTCACTCTGAACAGACCCTCCTGACGAAGACCTGACAGACAGACAGAAAGAGAGATGCAAAGCGCTTAGTTAAAACTGACAGCTGGTTGGTTTTAACAGGTAATGCTCATTGCTCACACAGATATTTGAGCCCATCATTCATTCATTCATTTGCTATATTTGGGCTTAGTCTCTATTTCAGAGGTCACCACAGCGGAATGAACCGCCAACTATTCCAGTATATGTTTTATGCAGTGGATGCCTTTCCAGCCACAACCCAGTACTGGGAAATTGAGCCCATTATTCAACTATATATTTACTTCTGTTAATGTGTGCAAATATATATATTTATTCAGTGTTTATGTTTATTACAGTAATGTTTTTAAGTAATATACAAATGTTTGGATGGTTTATGTACACTACAGTTTGTAAAGCATCTGCTAAATGCATAAATGTAAAATGTAAAGTAATATTTTCTGTCTATTTAATTCAAGTTTATTTGTATACAGCACTTTTCACAAAAAAATATTGTTTCAAAGCAGCTTTACACACATTATTGCATTACGATGAAATTCAGAAAAGATTATTAGTTACTATAACTTTAATAACTAATTAACTAGTAACTAATAGCTTTTCAGAGTTAAAGTCATACGCGTATATATAGACATTAACTTTTAGTGTATATTATATGAGAGACTTCCTTTGTTTATCAAACAAGTGGTTCTACTTTGTATTGTAAACCTTACATAAACGTTATTTTCTCTTTAGTTCTTGTCTTAAGTTTTTAGTTGCTGTACTCCTAAAAACATTCCACATGAATCTGCAGATTTTGTCCAGTAATTCTGCGTAAGATTGGCTAAAAAAAAGTCTGCAGATTCTGTCTGGCCCTGGTAATGAGCTCAGTTTTAAAGGGACAGTTCACTCAAAGATGAACATTTGCTTTGTTTTCACCTCTCAACACAAGTGGTTCTAAACTTAACACAGCTCTAACACAAAACAAGATATTTGGTAAAATGTTTGGAAAAATCTGCCATTTACGTCCATAGAAGAAACTAAAAATACCATTGACTTCAGCTGTTTTGTTTTTTCAGCATTTTTCAGTATATCTTCATTTGTGTTTAACAGAAAAAAAATCTGTCCCATTAACATAGAACTAATGTAAATATATATGGCAAAATATTAGATCAATTGAATAAAAACATACAGTATAATCAAAGTAACACTTCAAATGTCGAAGCACTGTGACAGCCAGTTTTTCTCAAAGAGCAGGGATTGGATGTTCTGAAAGCTCACAGCGCCACCCAGTGAAAAATAAGCTGAACTGCAGCTTTTGGTCCAGAATGTTTACATAGAGTCTATTGGATACTACATGTTAACTACAGATATAAGTCAAGGGTTTTTATTAAGTAAGTTTCGTTGGATTATATATTTTATTGATTCTAAAAGCTCTTTTTAATTAAATTTAAAAGTTATGTTATTTTTTATTGGGCGAAAAGAAACAATATTTATATTTATTTGACAATCAACAGTATGTCCAGTACATTTTAGCAAAGTAAGTTGATTTGGTCAATGAGTACAACTCTATGTAAAATGTAAAAAGTATCTGGTAAAATGAGTTTAAAACCACTATTTAAAGTATGGACACAATTCTAACACTAAAACTCTATTCATAGCTGAAATTTGAATTGTACAATTGAAGTCTAATAATAAATTAAGTTGGATTCTAAAGTGTAGATGCTTTTTTTATGTTGTTTGTTAAAGTATGCATATTAGTCTGTCAAAATTAAAAATTTTAATCTTGCTAGTTTTGTTAACTGGGAAATTTGTATTACTAATTACTACTTTGTAACAGATAAGGTAGATTTTAATAGTATTTTTTATAAATATTTATATTTATTATATATTATATTATTAAAATATTATATTTATTAATTGTGTTTTTATATAATAGCATCATATAAAACCACAAACATATTTTCATAATTGACTATGGATTGGTGAACAATTTAGTAGTTTTACAAAGAAATGAATGCGCTTTTCCAAAAGATTTTGCACATAGCTAACTTTTGGTCATACCAAACAAGTTCTGCTTTTTTTTTTTATTATGGCCGACATCGATCCAGAAGCCAATTACCTAATGCTAACAGTCACAGCTTGCTCTTTATTGTCTGAAGGCTTTGAGCCGTTCACTAACACTGTAAAAGCTGTGACTTTATCCTCCTAGCCAACATGTACAATTAGCAGATCGAAAAGTGGACCGGTTGCCAGTTCACATTGACTACAGCCAAGAAACAGTGCACTGAGTGCACAAAATAAAACAAGAACACAAAAGAAAATCTGATTACATTTTAAAAAGGAAAAATAATTATTTAAAAATGTCTACAACTTTTATAGTAAATAAATAGAATAGTAACATTTCTAGCATTATAAATGCACTGCATTTATATTAAAAAGTATAAAAAATTATTTTAAAATAATTCATAAATAAAAAGTATTATGAAAGTATTATAAAATAAAAAGTATTATTCAAATTAAAAAGTATTATAAAATTATTGCAATTAATTAATGTCTTTCGAATGAGACGTTAAACCGAGGTCCCGACTCTCTGTGGTTGTTAAAAATACCAGGATGTCCTTCGAAAAAGAGTAGGGGTTTAATCCCGGGGTCCTGGCCAAATCTGCCCCCTGGCCTCGGTCCATCATGGCCTCCTAACCATCCCCATATCATAATTGTCTCCTCTTGGTGTGTGGTGTGTGGTCTGGTTGCGTCATCCAGGTGGATACTGTACACTGGTGTAAAGCGTTTTGAGTGCCCAGAAAAGCATTATATAAATGTGAGGAAATGTTGTTATTATTATTATTATTATTATTATTATTATTATTATTATTTTTATTATTAAGTGTAACTCATATGTTATCAATCTAATATATCTATATATTATACATCTATAAATATATAATATAAATGTAATTTATAAACATATACCGGCCATTTAATTAGGTACACCTGTCCAACTGCTCGTTAACGCAAATTTTAATCAGCCAATCACATGACGCCAATTCTGTGCATGTTGATATGGTTAAGACGATTTGCTGCAGTTAAAACTAAGCATCAGAATGGGGAAGAAAGGTGATTCAAGTGATTTTGTACGTGGCATGGTTGTTGCGCTGGTCTGAGTATTTCAGAAACTGCTGATTTGCTGGGATTTTCATGCACAACCATAGAGTTCACAGAGAATGGTCTGACAAAGAGAAAATATCCAGTGAGCGGCAGTTCTGTGGGCACAAATGCCTTTTTGATGGCAGAGGTCAGAGGAGAATGGCCAGACTGGTTCCAGCTGATAGAAAGGCAACAGTAACTTAAATAACCACTCATTACAACCGAGGTCTGCAGAAGAGCATCTCTGAACACAAAACACGCCAACCTTGAGGCAGATAACATATTTATATTATAAAACTTAAAGGGAGAAAGAACAAAATGTTTCTGTATATGTTGCTACAGTTTGACTTTGCAGCACCTCCAATCACATACAACAAATCCCAAAAAGTCTCTCTGATGGCAGAAATATCTGAATCAGCAGTAACCAGGACATGATGTGCGCTGCGTTCCGTCACTGCATGCATTATAACACCTCACCAACGGATTCCTCAGGTTACTCTCAATACTTTATCACTGTTCCCAGATCAAATTTCCTCAACCGCAATGAGGTCAAACATTAGATATGACGCTCTTTCCGCTTTTCAACATTAACGTTAATCTGCTTTGATGTAATCAACTTTATAAAAGCGCTGTAGAAATAAAGTTGACTTGCCTTGTTTCTGTAGATGCTCCACCAAACGCCGCACCACCGCAGGCACCTCGTCCTCCAGCAGTCCCAGATCTCGAAGCTCCAGCAGGGACACGGTGAACATCTTCCTCCTCTGCGGATGGGCTCTGATCGTGGGCATCTGCACCATCCACTTCATGTCCTCCTTGATCTGGACCGCGGCCTTGTTGTGCTTAGAAAAGCAGAAGAATGAGGAGCAGTCCACCACATCCACCGTTCTCACCGGCTGCATCTCTAACAGCCCATAAATCACACTCTCAAACCGCAGGTACAGGTGGATCTGTCACTCTCTATGTGTGTGTGTGTGTGTGTGTGTGTGTGTGTGTGTGTACACGTCACAAGGGGTTACCATGCACCTGTAACCAGGTTAGGGAAAACACACCTACATAGTGCACACAAACACACACACACACACACACAGCTGACTGTATATCAGGTCATATAGTAGAGGAAAGCTATAAAATGTTCTGCATTCAGGAAATTAGACTCATGATGAGCAAATGTTTACTTAATGGAAATGTTTTCTTTGAAGAGAAACTGAACGGGGTCATTAATGGTTTCAGTGTAAGCATATATGTGATAAGTAAATGTGTTCTTTATAAAAATAAATGTAAAAGATATATTTAAATACATTTTATTTAAATAAATCAACATTAAGTAGTGTGTTCATAATAGTAATCCTCTGAAAATGTCTTCTAAATTGTCACTATTAATTAACCCTTAATTAGCAAAGTGATTCTACCATTTTTATGAAGTGGGTACATTACTTAGGCTTCCATTAATTTTATACTGTTTAACCCTATATTGTATTGCCCTCACCCTTAACTTAACCATTACAGGAGTCAGTGTACTGCTTTACTTTCTGAAAAAACTCATCCTGTGTGATTTATAATCTTTTTGATAAATGAGGACGTCAACAATGTCCTCATATTTTACCTCTTTTTTGTAATACCTGTGTCATACCCATGTCATTATACAGATTTGTGTCCTGATATGTCATAAAAACATGTACACACATACTGTATTTATGTATAGATATATATGTATATATATATATATATATATATATATATATATATATATATATATATATATATATATATATATATATATATGTATGTATGTATGTATGTATATATATATATATATATATATATATATATATATATATATATATATATATATATATATATATATATATATATATATATATATATATACACACACACACACACACACACACACACACACACACACACACACACACACACAGTCTTGTAGCCAGTTGAAAATAATGATAAAACTTTTTTTCCTGCCACCTGCCACATATTTCTGCCAAAAAGTTA